ACTTTTTTAATATAAAAAACTAATTTATGTTTAATATCAGATTTTTGAGTTAATAAAATCTTATATTCTTTTGCAATCTTTTTAGCTTTTTCACTATATCCAAGATTGGTAACAATAACATCTTGAACTTTGTAGAGTTTGCTAGCTGCAGCAGTTATTTCAACATCAGAAAATCGAATATTTTTAACTAGTCTGTATTTACACGTAATCAAAATTTCAATACCTTCTCTTGAAATCATTATATCTTTGTCACGATCGTTCGAAATTATTTCAGAATCAAAATATTTATTAATTTCAAAATTATCTTTTAATATTTCAATGATCTCATTTTTAAATTTAAGAAAAGAATTTTCCTAATAATTAAAAATTATGATTAATATACATTATGTAATCATTGTACTTGTGAGTGAATGGATCCTATCGGGCTTGCATTCTTAAACACATTTTCAATTCTACACGGGCGACTGTCGAAGGGAATTGCCCACTTATCAACCTCATTCAACCACAGCGTAACTTACAACTGAAAATATACTATATATCCAATATTAAGTGATTACTCACGTTATTTTTAATGATACTTTGATCAATATTGGACAAAGACATTTTAACGAAAAAAGAAAGAAAACCAACTTTATTTATAAGAAAATCAATTAATAATATATTACAAAAATCAACAAAAACAAAATACGAAAAAAAATTATAATTAATTTCGATTTCTATCTATTTGTTCAAATCTTTCTTGAGTTATCGCTAAAAAAGTATTCATGCTATTTCTAATTTCTTCATCGATTATTACAATATCATCATTTTCTCTTGTATTTCTTCTTTGTTTTTTGTTTGCAGTAATTTCTCCTTCGATCATATCTTTAAAATCATCTTCTGATTTTAATTCATGTTCTCTTTTCTTGATTCTTTCATCTGTATTTGATTTTTCTTGAATATATTTTTTATTTATTATAGTAATCTGATTTTTTTTATCTTCATTCAATTTTGCTAAATTTTTTTTATATTCATTTAATAATCTAGTTCTTTTTCGTTTCATATTAGTTTGAATTATTTTAATATCATTTTCACATTTTTAATCAAAATCTTTTTCTTTTAACTTTTTTAATTCATTAATGATATTATTTTTTCTTTTCTTTCGAAGTTAATTTTGTAGTTTAATTTGTTTGACTATATTTTTGATTTCATCATTTGATATTTCGTATCGACAATTTGGACATTTGATAAATGAAGTATCTTGATTATTAATAAAACTAAGCAAACACTGATGATGAAAAGGATGGGAGTGGAAGGAACAAGGAAGAAAAAAAATATCAATGGGTTTTAATTTTTCGCAGCAAATAGTACACGATTTAGAGTTCTTTTTTTTTTTTGAAAATTTAGAATTTTGCCATGATTTGTGATTTTTTATAAAAAATTATATATTTGGTTTATTTTAATTAAAGAATATTTTATTAAATTTGGATTATCGATTATTTGTGTAATAATTATTAAACATATAAATAGATTGACAATTTATTTGTTATACAAATAAAAAAATTCTAAGAATTTCGAATATCTAATTTAAAAAAGGTGTTCATTTTTTATATAGATATTGTATAACCTACATGATTTGAACATTGTGAACATAAAATTTCTATTCTGGGAATAGGTTTTTCTCTTTGTTTTGATAATTAAAACATAATTTACAAATATCATAAAATTCTTTTTTTTTATAATTCAATTCTGGTTTATTTCTTTTACATGTATTACATAATTTTCTTTTCTCACAATCGATACAACTCTTAAAATATTTCTTATTTTTCCAATCCCAGTTAATTTGTTTTTCATTACATTGAGAACACAAAAGTGCTCGGTTTTTTATTAATTTTTTTCGACATTCTTTACATCTTGGAAATTTTTTTGGTTTTAGATTTCCACATTAGCAAAAATCTTCAGATTCATACACATCTAAATATTCTTCTCATGTAAAATACAACAACTCATTATTGAGATTTCTGGTTATATTTTCTGATATAATTTCTTGACCTTGAAGAACACATTCAATTTCGTCAATATGGTTAAAGGCAGTTGATATTTCAAAGATATGTTTTTTGTTGCTAATGAATATATCTTCAATTATATAAGAGAAGAAAGAATTTGGAATTTTTTTTAGTAGAATATCGGTAGTTGTTGATATTTTTTTTCATTTAGGCCCAATGATAAATTTTATATTTGAACATTTTTGACAATGTATTTCGTAATCAGGATATTTAATAACATCATATCTATTTAGCCAACAAATCTGGCAAAGAGGTCTATTCCATTCAATATCAAAATCGTCCATGTTTTTGGATGCTCAATATGAGTCATTCTGTTGAATTTATGATTGACTAATTATAAATGTTTATTAAAATAAATTAAGAATCTAAGAATTTTTTGTAGATTATTTACTAAAACAAAATTATTGCACAACATTTTCATTGATAAAACATATATGGAAATTCCTTATTATGCAAACTTTGTTTCGAATTTGGAATTTTGATTCTTTGTTTCTAAAACATTACTTAGTTCTTCAGATTTTTGATAAACCTAATAAGTGTTATTATGTAATCTCAATATCTTACACTATTCGAGTTAAAGTTATTTGTAAAAAAGTTACAAGTTTTTGTATTCGTTTCTTTGAAATGTTATAAAATGTCGGTAATTAAAGACAATGAAAATTTGGATTTCAA